CTGAATTGGTGCGCTCATCGTGGTCATTGTCTCCGCAGGCTGGTGTATGAGTGGGCCGTGTTTCTGGCACTGCATGCATCTCCTGGCCATTTCCTTAGCGTCCGCCTTCATTGTCGGCCAGAAGTACCCTGCTCGTAGGATTTTTGCGACCATGGCTCCGACTTTGCTATGGTCGCCACAACATCCCTCATGCACTTCTCGTAAAACATACCGACCTTCCTCTTTGGATATACACCTCAAAGTTGGGCCTGCATATGATCGCTTGTAGAGGATTCCACCCTGCTCGAAAAATCTCCTCACCACCTTTATGGTTCCCTCTCGCAACTCTTTCTGGATTGGGGCCCTCCAATCTTCTACTTCCTTGATCTCTGCCACCTCGGCTTTAGCCGCACTCTTTTCCATGTGGAGCAGGGTCACACTCCTACTCTTACAGTCTACCAAATTCTGGGCGATTTTAGACAGCAAGTCAGCTCGACCATTCTCCCCCCGAGGTATCTATATTAATTCAAATGACCCGAATTCCTCCTTCAACTTCCTCATGTTGTCCACATGACGCTGCAGCCGATCTTCTTTGATCTCGAACCCTTCTTGGAATTGACCGACCACTAATTGAGAGTCAGAATAGACCTGAATTTTTCGTGCGCCCCCTGCCAGGGCCAATTGTAAACCGTTTAAAACCGCTTCGTACTCTGCCTCATTGTTTGATACCCGGAATCCTACTTTGACGGCAAATTCTAAGTAATCCTCTTTGGGCGAAATCAAGACTATCCCCAAGCCAGCCCCGCTCCTCGACACTGAGCCATCTGCAAACAATTGCCACACGCCTGCCTCGTCTCCTTCCTCCTTCGTACCCTCCCGTATGAAATCGGCCAAGACCTGCGCTTTGATTGCCCTTCTTGGCTCATAAGTTATAGAGTACTCGCTCAGCTCGACCGCCCACTTCACTAGTCGACCAGATACTGCTGGTCGACCTAAAGTCTGCTCCAATGACATGTTTGTGCGCACCTCGACCTTATGGTTTAGGAAATATGGCCTCAGCTTTCGGACCGTCACAACCACCGCCAACACACATTTCTCTATTTCCGAGTATCTCAACTCTGCTCCCTGCATCACCCGACTGACATAGTATATTGGGAATTGTGCCCCTCCCTCTTCTCGCAACAATACCGAGCTTACCGCATTCTCGCCCACTGATATGTAGAGAACAAGTTCTTCTCCATGTGTTGGTTTAGCTAATAAGGGCAAGTTTGCCAGCACTTCTTGTAGCTCCTCGAAGGCCTTCTGGGCTTCCTCCGTCCATTGAAACTTTGAGCTCTTCTTCAGGGTCTTGAACAGAGGACTGCTCTTCTCAGCCACCTTGGAAATGAATCTGCTCAGCCCCGCTATTCGACCAGTTAGGATTTGGACCTCCTTCACACTGGCCGGTGGCTTTATCTCGATCACCGCTCTCACCTTCTCAGGATTCACCTCTATTCCCCGCTTTGTCACCATGTATCCCAAGAACTTCCCTACCTTTACGCCAAACGAGCACTTAGCCGGATTAAGTTTCATGCCAAACCTCCTCAGTGTTTGGAAAGTCTCTCTCAGGTCGCTTACGTGGTCCACCTCCATCTTGCTCTTTACCAGCATGTCATCGACATATACCTCCATATTTCTCCCCAACTGGTCCTTGAAAATCTGGTCGACCAACCTCTAGTTAGTGGCCCCGGCATTCTTCAGTCCAAATGGCATGACCACATAACAATAGGTGCCTTTGCTTGTTATGAAGCTCACCCTCTTCCAATCTTCCCTCGCCAAGGGGATTTGATGGTAACCTTATGAGGCGTCCATCAAGCTGAGCAACTAGCATCCTGCCGTGGAGTCCACCAACTGGTCGATCCTCGGCAGCGGGTATAGATCCTTCGGGCAAGCCTTATTTAGATCACAGAAATCGATACACATTCTCCATTTTCCTCCTGACTTGGATACCATTACCGTGTTAGATAACCACTCTGGGAACTGAATCTTCTTGATGTGCCCAGCGTTCAATAGCTTTTCGACCTCCTGCTCGATAATTTTGTCCATCTCCGCTCTATGATGTCTCCTCTTTTGTTTTACCGGTTTCACGCTAAGATCGATATTCAGCCGGTGCTCGATTATCTTGGCCTCAATCCCTGTCAATTCTTTCGCAGTATATGCGAAAATGCCCGCAAACTCCCTTATCAAGTCTACCAACCTCGACCTGATTGATTCTCCCAGCTCTTTCCCAATTCTAAATTTTCGATCATCCTTCCCTTCCACCATTTGGACCTCCTCCAACTCGTCCCCTGGTTGCATGTCCATTTTCCCCTTCCCCTTGTCTTGACGTCCCTTCTCCTCTTTCGACCTCGATCCTCCTGGTCGATCGGGCGGTTGCTCCCCTCCTTTCACTTGCTTCCTCGCCATTTGCTTGTTATTGCTATCAGTGGTTTGATAACAACTCCTCGATGTGAGCTGGTCTCCAGCAATCTCGCCCACATTTTCACCCACAGGATATTTGATTTTCATGTGGTATGTAGACACGATTGCTTGGAATGCGTTCAACCCCGTCCGCCCCAATATGATATTGTAGGACGACTCCGCTCCCACTACTATGAACCGTACCATCCTCACCTTCCTAGTATCACCCGATCCCAACGCCACCATTAGACTTACTTCGCCCATCGGCATTACCTCTCCTCCGTTAAAACCATACAAGGCCGTCACTACCGGTTTCAGTTCCAGATTTAGATGTTTGTTAATCTGCGCGAAGCAGTCATAGAAAATCACATCGACCGAGCTTCCTGTGTCGATGAACACCCTCTTTACATCAAAACCAGCCACTTCCGCCGTGATAACCAGCGCATCGTTATGGGGCAATAAGATCCCTCCCGCATCCTCTGCTCGAAAGCTAATTATAGGCATTCGACCAGTTATCCTGATTTCCTCTCTCTTGCGCTTTACAGCTTGTACATGCCGCTTTCGCTCATTATTTGAATCCCCATCTGTGGGTCCTCCAAAGATCATATAGATTGTGCCCCTCTTTGCTGGTATCTCCACCCTCGACTCCTCTCGAGCACCACTCCCTCCGCTCCTCTTTTCCCCCCTATCGTCACCCTCTCTATCATCGTCTCTGTCGCTCCTTGCTACCGAATCCTCCCTGCACCTCCTTTTTGTTGGAACCCACGAGGATCTCGATATGCACAAATCACAGACAAACATTCAACATAAACCTATGCGCAGCGGATCTAAAGGTTTGATGTAGAAAACTTACTGCTT